GTGAAAATGTACTCGCAACGCCTCTCGCGGGTATCGCCGTACCTCTCGAATGGGTCCCTTTCACCGCGACGGTTCTACGAGATGCTGCGGCGTTATGCCACCGAGAATCTGCGGGATAATTTTGTGCAAATGCAATACCGTGAGGCACTCCTCCGGTTGAGTCGACGTGATTATTGGCACTGGATGGGCTTGCGTTACGGGACACTGCTCTTTTTCCCGTATGGCCCACGACCCGAACAAACCGACAACATCCCCGACTGGCGTCATGATGAAAAAATTGTGCAGAAGTGGTGTGCAGGACTCACTGGCGTGCCTTTTGCGGATGCGGCAATGCGGGAACTGTTGACGACTGGTTTTGTTGCCCACGAGGGACGACAGGCGTTGGCCTGGTTGTTGACACGCGGCTATGGACAAGACTGGCGCCTTGGGGCGGAGTGGTTGGAACGCTGCTCGCTCGACTACGATCCGTTTCTCTGTTACGGCAATTTTGCATACTTCAGTGAACTTATCTTGGATGACTTTGGTGAACCAGTGCGCAGTGTTCATTGGCTTGCCCACCACCATGACCAGACAGGCATCTACGTTAAGAAATGGCTCCCGCTGCTAAGTAAGATCCCGCCTGTGTACATTCACAGGCCGCATGTGCTTACGCCGAGGATGCAGGCCATGCACGGTGTGAGACTGGGTAAAACCTACCCGTATCCGCTGAAGTTGTGGGATGGGGCGCAGTACATGTTAGGCAGTGACGAGCTCACGACGTACTTTGACGACTCAAGTGCATGGCATCGGAAGACGAAGAGTGGCGCAGGAGGCCCAGGCCATGCGGAGGCTCTACGCCACGGAAAGGCGATCATGAAGGTCAGAGAATGGAACGCCGCCATCTTGCCAGAGGAGGTTGCCCAACGTCCATGGGCGCATCACCTTCCCGCATCTGCCTTTGAGAGTAGTGAAGACGAGGTGGAAACGCTTCAAATGAGGCAGCGGAACCAAAATCAGCCAACACGACATGGGCAGCTTTCTCTCTGATCGAACGATATTTATTTTGCAGGCAGTTTGGTTTAACGAATGAAGGTCTCTTTCTTTTTCCGTACTTGTGGGTGGGAGAGAGTTTATTTCTGTGAAGCTATTTTCTGTAAATGCATACGTGTATGCCCTGTTTATTCTCCCCTTTGTTTTTTTTTTGTTTGTTGTTGTTTGTTTGCTTGTTTTTTGTTTGTGTCTTCTGCTTAACCTTTTTTTTGTTCCACACCCACACACGCAAATTACCCGCCGCGTGAAGAGCTTCGACCGAGCAAGAGTAGTCCCGTCCACTTCATGCCATATCCGTATATCCTGCAGTGCCGAGAAAGTTCACCAGAGGACGTCATTGTCAAGTACGATGTAGCAGCTACAACCGGAGGAGATCTTACGAGCGTATTCTCTTTGACCTCAAAGCCTGGGAATCACAACATCTTTGTAGCGGCATGTGACGGGGATGTCCCGGCGCTGCGAATGTTTCTTGGACTAGGTGTGGATATTAACGAAATGGGACAACCCAACCCGCAGTACGGCCCTCAGTTTGACCGACGTACGCTCTTTCGTGCCCCGCCGCTCTGTTATGCGGCGGGATATGGACGAGAAAAAGCCGTCGCAGCCCTGTTAGAGGACGGAGCGGACGCTCTGAAGACATCATCGACGGGATTTAAAGCAGTCGATTACGCCAGGCATCGTGGATACACGGCCATTGTGCAAATGCTGGAATCTGCAGAGGAGCGGAAGCGCTCTGACCAGCAGGAGGGCAAGGAATGATAAAGAATCATTTTCTTTTTTTTTTTCCATTCCTTGCGTTCTATGTAAATAATGCACCACTCATTCTTTCTGGATCAAAATTGAGGGGTTAACGGTGAAGGTAAAGAAGGTCTCCACCACCCTCCTTCCAAACAAACAAGGACACACATACACGTTAGTGAGCCAGTTCTGCTGCAATGTTTTTTTTATAATTATTTTTTTTTTTTTGGATTTGTCCTTGTTTTTTGGTGGTTGGCCTTTGGGCGTTGTCGGCTTTGGCATCTCTACTGATGATGCTAATGTTGCGTGGACACAAACTCAGCGGTTGGTCGTTTTGGTTATCGGCATTCAGGCAGCACGTCTGCTTGTTTTCTTGGACATGGTTGCGTGTTTGTGCCGCGTCCTCATTGCTGTTTCTATTTCAATTCCACCTTTTTCTCTTTTTCTCTCTCTCTCCCTCCGTGTATTTTTGTGTGTGTGTGTGCTTGTTTGCTTGGTGGCCTCGTGGCTGCTACTCCGCGAATACGAGCAAGAAAGATGGAGGGGAACTTTTACGTCTCCGGCAGCGTCATTAAGCGTGAGCTGCGCTCGAATTACGGCAAAAACTACACCAAGTGCCGCGAGGAGGCGGTAGCGTACGGTAGATGCATTGAGGCTGGTCAAATTAACCGAAACTTAACGCAGGGACTATGCCACGAGGAGCGGCGGGCACTACGCGTCTGTGTGGATATGCACGGCACGGCGATGAAGCAGCAGCGGCTGACAAAACAATAAACAAAGCGAAGAGGGGCACACAACATGTCTTTGCATGCATGCAATGCGTTGCAAAATTGTCTCTCTGTCCGTGTGAGGAAGTGTTTTTTTCCTGCCGCCGTACATCGAAGAAACTTACGAGCTCCATGGAAACAAGAGGGAGGAGTGACGTGGAGAGCGCAGAAGGCGCATTGGAAGGAGTTGGTCAAAAATATGGGGAATTACTTGGGGAGGGGGGGGGACTTAACAAAAACGAGAAAGGGAGAATCTGAAGCATGCGAAGATTGTATTATTATTATTTTTTTTTGATGGTTTCTATCTTGTTTTTTGTTTTTTTGTGTTAATTTTCTGAGAGGGGGGAACAGGGAAGGTGTTGTTTGCCGCCACCACAGCGGCAAACGTCGACACCAAAGGAGTAGTAGCGGTGGCTGCCTTCTGCCTCTGGGCCTGTGGACTCATTGCATCCCCGTGTGTGTGTGTCCTTTATGTCCGTTGTCGTTACCGCGGCGCGGTGGCTGCCCTTTCGTCAATTCCGTCAATTCCCGTCGGTTTCCTGCACTTCACGCAGTGTGTGGGGCTGCAGCATACGCCTTTTTGGGTACTCCGCCTACGACAGCATACGCAAGCCTCCTAAAAGACGGAAGGGGCCGCATGCATTATTTGCCTCCACCGCAGCAACGGTCAGGAGCAAAAATGATAATGTCCACGAGGGTGGAGTGCACGGAAGCGGTGTTGGCCGCACCCGCCCAACACAGCCGGAGTCGCAACGTTTGCAGGAAGCAAAAAGAACATTTCCAGAGACACTGAGGAGTGGTCGCTACAAGCAGCAGAATACCAAATCACAGCGCCTCTATCAGGGGGCCGCATCTGCAAGTGAATCGGCACCGGATAGGCGCTTCTACCGCAAGGTGGAAGACTACCGAGAGGTGCAGGATGATGATCCGTATGCCGGTGTCTTTAGGGAACACGTGGGAGTAGAGCGGCGGCGGTTGAGGGAGTGGCAGCGGCAGTTTGAGGAGGAAAATGCACATGTTGAGCTGCCATATGAACGGACGAATATCATTGCACGGATCGCACCCAATTGGTTTGTGCGTTACTTTTTGAATTTACGGGATAAGGGGGGTGTAGAACACACCGGTTTTTTGTGGGCATGCGCCTTTGTCACCTTAAGTCTCCTGTGGCTTGTCGGGTACTTTTTTTACACTCCACCGAGTAAGGCGCGCCCAATCGCGGAGCTGCGATGATGACAGCAGTGGAAAGAAGGAATGAAAGGAAGAAACAGTGAAGACATGTCAAAGTAAGTAGCCAACAAGAATGAAAAGTGATGGATACCAATAGTCCCGCGGTGGATCATGAATGGAGGTGTTTATATGCGTATATACACGTCTGTGTTTTGTTTTGTTTTTCTCTCTGTCTGTCTGCATATTTTTTTTTTTTCGCCTTGTGAGCGTCTCTCTGTGTCTGCTCCGTGTGGTGAGGGTGAAAACAGGGGAGACAAACACAAATAAATTAAATAAATAAGCGGTGGGAATAAAAGAAAATTGGGGGGAGGGACGCAAAGACGTGAAGGGAAAACAGTCAAAATAGGCCTGTACGTGTGCGAGCCCCCCTATCTAACCTAGCCATCTATCTATTCGTTTATCTGTATATATATATATATATACGCACCCTATTTCTCCCTTCCTGGTAGATGTCGAGCAACTACACGCTGGCGAGTCAATGTCAACTTAGGCGGGATGAAATGCATGAGCTTCTCGTCCTTGCCACCGCGGTCGCAACAACGTTAGACACCGCCAGTGAAAATGGTGTGGGACCGAAGGAATGCAGCAAACTGGCACTCTGGCGTATGCTGCTCAGTGAGGCACATGTACGAACGCTGATGGTGCACGCATTGGTGCGTGTGTCAGTCCCAAAGAGCAAACAACAGCTGCTTATTCATGGGAACAAATACATGAAGGCAAGCAGTCCGGCGAAGGGTTCCACAGAGGGGCAGCAACATAATTACCGGGTGGGAAAAGTTGTGGCGCTCATACCACGCCCTCGGGCGTCGTCGGATGTCACGAAGACAACAAGTGACGCCCCACCGGCAGGTTCGCTTCTTTCGGACTGGCTGCTGGGTGTTGACTTTGGCGAGGCAACCGAGTTGCTGGGTGCCAAGTACGTCTCCAATGAACCCTTTTCACCCGAGGAACATGCCGTATTTGTGCGCTCATGCCTCTCGACACACACGGACACAACAACGGCATCAGCGCCTATGACGGCTCCAGAGGCGGATGTTGTTGTCCGCAACCTGCATGACATTCGTAAGTATGTCACCGCAGTGGTGGAAGAACGAAGTGGCAAAGCAGCGGCTGCCGTGTCAGCTGTTGGGGGAATTAAACGCCTCCGCGATGAAGCGGCTGCGGCACTGGGAAAAGAAGAAGATGGCAACCGCCACAAGAAGGAAGATGACGAGGATGAGGAGGAGACTCTCACTCGAGCGCAGCTACTGGCGGAACGCGCGCGGCATCGCGAGGAGCGACACCGGTGGGAGGCGCTCCTTGACGAACAGCAGCGACATTTGAGTGGCCTGCGCCAGTTGCTGAATAGCAAGAATGGGGAGATTCAACGAGTGCTGCATGCCCAGCGGCAGGCGGAGGCGGCGCACAGGGCTGAGATGGAGCAATGGAAGGTAAAGATGGAGGAACAGGGGCAGACGATCCGGCGAAGCGAGCGGATGCTTGCTGACGAGCGTGAGGTGCAGAAGGAAAACCGCGAGAAGACGGAGAAGTTAGTTGCGCAGCTCAAGAAACTCGCGGAACAAACTCGGAGGTTTAAGGAGGTGTCAGACACAGTGGCGGATTGGCTGCGTCTGGGCACAAAACAACCAGAGGAGGTACTGGTGGCTCTGAAGAGAAAACTGGCAGAATCGCCGAATTGATGGAAGGCCTCATCTTCTTCCATTTGTTCTTTGTTTTATATATATATATATATATGTACTGATGGTGGTACTGGTTGTGGTGTTGATTATTTGGTTTTTTGTCACAGTGTATTTGTATGTATGTATGTGTGTTTGTGTGTGTGTGGGCAAGTGGACTTGTTGTTGTTTTTGTTGTTCCCAGCAATACGGACGACATCCTCTTTGTTTTTCTTTGTTGTTGGTTTTCTTCTCTCTGCCGCGTGTGGGCGTGTGCGTCGGCTTTTGTGCACATGGAGTCATCCGTTGAAAAAGTTGTGCAGGGGTAAAGGTCTCATTTTAGCGGCGGCTGCATGGCGGATCGAGCCGTCGTTATTTTTCTTTTTGCGCAAGAGAAGTTGCTGTTCCGCTACCCTATCTGCAACCCTTTTACCCTCGATGCCAACAGCCAAAACACGACAGTCCCCGGCACTCATACGAAGACGCACGGAAAATCCTCTGCCGTCGCTGTGGACACAACCACCGACAACACCATCACTGCCACAGCCGCTTTACATGCAAAAACAACAAAAACCGAAGCGTCACAGCAGCAGAAACAACAAAAACAACA